GAATATGGTGTGTGTGTGTGTGTGTGGACTGCACTGAAGAACTTGAAACAATAACAAGAAGATTCAATAACTTCTCAATACATTATATCTCATTGCGCCACAGGAATATCAGGAGAATATCACCTGATATTTAAATATTAAGAAGAGATTGGAATTCAAAAAGACCACGTTACAGAAGAAACCAAATCTTGTTAGGATATGTTGGAGCGTAACCCAAGAGAAAAAACACTGGTCAGTGGATTTGTAGTAAAATGGTACGAAAGTTGGATTGGTCGCTATGGAGTTAACACGTTCCCAATGTAAATTATCGCCATGTAGTGATGAGGAGTTATTGGATAAAATGAATAGATCCAATAACAGGTTGACTAATATTTATTCCACCCCCCCCTCCATTCAAAAAAGGTAGTAATCAGTTCACTAGCCATTGTAAGTATTTACTAAGTGGCCATATTCATAGTAGTTTTGCAGGTACACCCACTGGATGACCTTGACATATTGGTCAATCACTTTCTGTCTGACTTATTCAGTTTAGCAAATAACTATTATAACAAAATCATTCAGACATTTATTATTTCACTAGTGAACTAATCTACAGATTGTATGTACAAAGTTGTTTTATGAAGAGAATAATAGTTTCACTAATATCTGTTACATCATATGCTGGTTTAATTCGACAGTTAGTCCACACGATTTAATAACTTACATTTTTCTTATAGTTTTTTTTCTACAAATTAACCCGTTAGTATGTTTTTGAATAGATTTCTAAAATTCCAGTGAAAAGTGTAGTTCAACCATATCGGGAATGGAACCAGTATTACTGATAACATGTAATGAATATTGTACAATATAACCGGTCGGAAATGTGAATCATAGATATTAATTCAGTTGCTCTAGGGTGTCCGATTTGTCAGGTCTACAGGTTTTAGGTTTGATCGAGAGTGGAGCCAAGAGTGTGTGCTATTAAAGAGTCTGTAGTGTTGGTCGCTATGTCAAGCCCGCATAGCCTTTCGTACCTTTCGAACAGGGCGATTTGTTCATTTTTCTTGAGTCACATTTTGACCTTGTTAATTAATCGCTTATCAACCTTGACTGTTTTTATATGACAGTAGGTGTGTTAACTTCTTATCTTATTCATCACATATCTGTAACTTATTTTTGTTCGGCTACAAATATAGGTTAACGATTGATTACATCGAGTTGACTCACACACCTTCTCCACTGCGCGTCATTTCGATTCACTTTCTTCGCTTCGTCTCTCTGATTGTCTGTCCAGATCAATAAGTGTACAAACATACACATTCAAAAATCCATTCTCTTATTTGGCTTATTTCATTCTGTTATTCACTAACGCAGACTAAGTCAATAATTATATACGAGGATTTGAGATATGTATATTTCAATAGCAATCAGAAACTATTCAACTGGAGTCAGATATATGGCTACTAAAAGTGTTGAACTTGAATAAAACGCTTTTGTTGATATCCCATGATTGTTGATCGGTATTTAAACTGAAGCCTATCTGTCTGATATAGGGATGAACTTCAAAAAATAATCCGACTTTTTAGCAAAGTTAATGTGTAACTTTTCAATAAGGATGTCTCATTTCAATGACCATCAGTAAATGTTATTCATAGATATAATTATTATGTGAATTCATGTACACAGTTATAATAAACAGTGACAATAATAACAATAATAATAACGAAGACACTTTTCAAAACCTGTAAGATTTAGATTCTTGATCTTAGTTTATATGGGGATCCTCAAACTTTGAAAATTAAAGAATACAGATATGAATAATAGAAATTTGACTAGTGAACTATATTAAAATATTCGAAGTGTCTTAGAGATTATCGGTCAGCTTATAAATTATATAGACTTATCTAACTTTACATTTGTCATTTTTTATTGTATTTGAACTATGGATAATATATTCATACAACAAGTCACTATATAAAGCAAAGAGTTTTCTTAACTTTATAAAATCACGCTTAGATGACAATTTGGCGAGACTATTATAATTTATGCACAAATCAATCAGATATAAGATAACAGGTCTTAGATTTTGGCGCGAAATTTATTCATCCATAGTGTTTTAGCATTTTAGCTGATGTTAGTTCGTGATGAAAACCCTAAATCTAATTCTTAACCCTAACCATCAGTTCACACAGGTTTATAACTCTCATTTAGCTCCAGTAAGCATATGGACATTTTCAAAGTCATTTTAGAGTCGTTCAAAGGTCATCCATGAACTATAGTCTCATCGACAATTTTTTAAAACTGATTTTCAATGTACGTAATCACTGTTGGAATTATATTTAGGGATAACGAGTATAAAACCAGCAAAGTTGTCAGAAAATAGAGAGGAATACATCACTTGAATTTTCTTGATAATTTCAAAATCAGAATGGGGGTATTTGAAGATTGTACTAACTTTAATAGTTGAATTCATTAGTCGATCTAAGCTAGACCATTAATGCAAACCTGGACGCACTGGATGTGCATGGTTGAGAAGTCCCATACTAGGACAAAACATACGTTTAGCGCTTCAGGTTTTCCATAGTGGTCTGGCTTCAATTGACTCATGAATTCAACTATTAAACTACTATAGACTACGACTATACGATTTACTATTCTTAAGTTATCCCCAAGCTATTAGTTACAGTATCTTACATTCATATCCACTTCTGACTTGATCTTGTATAATTGTTATTTTCTATTTTATGGTATGATGCAGTACGATTTGCTTGAATATAAACTAAGCATACCTTAAATATATGATATTAGCGTTCTGAACTGAACAGGGTGGGTTAAGCAAGAAACTATTATGTCAGAAGACCAATAAGAACTCAGAGTTGACTCTGGGCTACTCGAAGTGGTGAACGCACTATTGGTTTGGCTTAGTGTCAAGGTCATATAAGTCAGTGTTCTAATTGGCGATCCAGTTTCATGATATTGACGGACCATAAGAACATAACAATTTTCTTGTTTTATTTTCTGCAATATGCATTATCCAGAAATATCAAGCTTAAGGAATGTAACAACATTTGAATAATCCATCAAAGGTATAAATTCTCTAAATCAAACCATGTTACTCTGTAGACATTTAGACTACCTGATACCAATCAATCAGCAATAACCAAACCTCATAAAACTATTGATAAGATACGTAATATTAAAACCTTGATTTGTTGAATTTACAAATAATTAGCATAGTCAATTAGAAATATATAAACTAAACGAATTTTGAAGTGAATACATGTAGAAAATACAATCATGACTAAACATATTGACTATAATCCAACTACGTAAATTTTCATTGTCGAACAAAAGATGCATGATTGTTTTCAACTCTAGGAAATATGTGATACGTAGGGTTTTCAAGTGGAAAGTATTTTGAGCATAAGTATAATCCATGAAACGCATGGAAACAAATACAATACCAATAAATAGGAGTATAATTTGAAACGAATAAATATTCGACACTTCCCATTGTGGAAAGAATCATCTTATAATCTGTGTTTTTTTATATTCTAAGCTTGGTTAGTTACTTGTCTAACCTTTGAATAGATTAAGCTAGAAAACCATCGGATACGTATTTGATAGCAGTTATGAATCAGTATAAGTCGTTTCAAATCTATGTGAGTAGTTGTCATTTCTCGATTGCCCACAACTTGGAAGGATACTATTTCTTGTTGAACCTGAAAATGGAACTTGGCTGGAGGAGATCTTAACAACCCGGGAGCTTGACCGCAATGTATAAAGGACAACCACAGGAGGCCGATCGCATATATCCTTTTTGTCAGTATTTTCAGGTGAGTTATCCCAGTAATTTTATGGTCTTCCTATTAGCGACGAAAATCCAAGGAGCGAGGTGAAGTGTTTATTTTTAGAGCTAGTTTTTTCTAACCTTCCCCTTTCTTTGTAAAAAGGATGCACCACTATAGACACTGGTTATCTGAAGAAAGCACCTAACTGCTCTCACGTCCTAGTAGTACGACTTTAGCCGCCCACGGGCCATGAGTTCATTGCTTTTAGTTTAACTGCTTTCCATACAACCTGAATGACATGATATAATCAGGAATGACAGGGTCATCATGACATATAGGATTACACATAGCCTCAAAGGGCGATGTTAGTATGAAGGTAAGTTGGCGGAGAGCTTGAGGCACCAACCAAAATTTGATATTACTTCATACAAAAAATGTCTGCTAGTTTGAATCACATTTGTAGATCCAGACCACACGGTTGAGGCCTGAAATCAGTGGTAAAAGATATTGGGTGAAATTGTTCAGTATCACTTATAATGAAGCAGATACCTTCACCGATTTTCTTTTGCTTGGCTCTAAGACTCAGTACTCCTTGACACATATCTTTCTTTCAATTTCTTTATACTATATTGCTGTGTATTTTTCTTTATCATTTGTACTCTTTTAGGGAGAAGAGAATATGGGTGATATTCATTTTGGTGTGTTGTGGTTTTAATCAATAGTTTACAACTGTCAGTCAGAACATTCAATTCGTGAGTACAGTAAAATGACTAGACATTTAGATTTATTTTATGCCATGAGTTTCCATGAAATCCAGAGTGACTCATTACAGTTAGTAGGATTAAGTATATTCTAAATGTGGAAATAGTATGCTCTTTGTGATATTTACTTGTAAGATTAATACTTGAATAATGAGTTTCAAACAAATCACTAACAAATTCGTGTTTCCAGGGTGTTATTAGAACGTAGCTTATAAGGTTGATCGTATGCATTAAATATCAGTTAAAGTCTAAAAGCTGACACTAATCGTTAAGACGTTTATTTAATTCTCGATTCAGTAGATGATGATCTTTTTAATTCTAAAGCACATTTGTTTAAGCTTAACTAGTAACAATTGAAAATATTCGTTGTGAATAATCAATACTACCTGTGTCTTGGAGACTATCTTCAAACATCCAATATTAATTCACTTTGATTATTGAGGATAATGTTGATGAATCCATGGTTTAAGCTACCAACTTCAAAATTCTATGGTAATAATAATATTGTTATATCTTGAAAAAGCTGATTTTCTTGATACAACCGCGTATAACTGAGCACTGGAACACCAAACCCTTCCAAGTCGCAATAAGAAGACAGAAGACTAACGAAAGGAATATTATTCCAAACAGTGTCAAACATAGTACAAAATTATCAGGTATTTATAGTTTTTAGTGGGAACGAAATCATCATTACAATCTTCCAATCCGCGTACAGGGTGTTATTAGCATTATCCAATGGGGAAGCTACACGTTGGAATTCTAGAACATTCTTCCGACAGGTGATTGGATGGAACGTCTTCGGCTCCTTATGAGCCTCTTACAGCTTCCTCGAGTTCACCGGTGGTCCGTCGTCACACCTCCCCCCTTTAAAGTCCGTTGTGTAAGATTTTTTTCTTGGATCCACCTGAAGCTTGGGTGTCGCATTCCTCTTGCGCTCCATTACTCTCGAGGGTTGTACAGCTTTCTCTCTGCGTCGTTTGTCTTTTCGATATTTGCGCTCATGATGGTTCTTCGGGGATGAATCTACGAGCAATTGAAATGGAAGCCGGTTTTCTGTGACCACTGTACTATCATTTCTTTGCATTTGATTTATATGTCTTATGCATTTCCCGACATCTTTCCGGACTAGGTACAACACATTTCCGATTCGACGTTCTATGACACCTGGTTCCCACTTCTTATTACCTTGGTACGATCTGACAAGTACCTTCTCACCCACCTGGAAGCTACGATTGACCTTACGATTTTCATTCGTGGGTTTATTTGTCTTTCTGGGCGGCAACATACTGTTAAAAACTGTCCGGATTTTTCTTCCGAACATACACTCGGCCGGAGACTTTCCTTCTGGTACTGCCGGATTAGGGGTAACTCTGTAAGACATCAAGAACTTATTAATCACTTGTTCCGGGACACCCTCACCTCCCCCTTTGACCAGAGCTCTTTTAATTGTATCCACGAATCTTTCTGCCTGGCCATTCGACTGAGGATGGTATGGAGGAGATTGTAGATGCAATATGCCATTCTCGTTGCAGAAGCGTTTGAAGGCGGATGACATGAACTGAGTACCATTGTCGGTCACTAAGATCTCTGGAACCCCAAAACAGGCAAACAATCCTGACAATCTTCTTATGGTACTCTCTGAAGTCGTATTCGGCATGTCATAAACTTCCGGCCATTTTGTGAAAGCATCTACAACAACTAAGTAATTCCTGCCTTGTATCGGTCCGGCGAAATCAGCATGTATTCTTTGCCAAGGCCCGTCCGGTTTAGGCCATGGTTGTGGCTCAGCTCTCGTTGGGTTCTTTGCAGCCTCTTGACAAGACCAACAGCTGCGACATTTTTGCTCTATCTCATGGTCCATTGACGGCCAGTAAGCATAGCTACGAGCTAGTGACTTCATTTTACTTATCCCTGGATGCCCGCTGTGGAACTGTTTAATGGCTTGGTGTCGAAGATTTCTGGGGATAACTGTAACGTTCATGTTCAACAGTTCCAAGTTTTCGCAAGAGTATTCTGACCTTAGCGGCGTCATCAAGTTTTTTGAGGTCGACCTTGAACAGATCTTCATATTTCTTGAACCAAGTTTCAAAAGTAATGCCAGCTGAACCATCAAAATTAAATTCATGGATAGAATTAACAATCTGGTCAACATGAGATTTGAAGGGATCATCTGTAACTTCTTTTTGATCCAGGTTCATTTTCTGAGTTAGCATCTCTAGCATGCGCATCTGGAACTTTTCTTGACGTTCCAATAAGGCTTCAAATTGTTCCAAGGTAAATGACATATTGATACAATAACCCGTCGCCAGATGTTATATCTTGAAAAAGCTGATTTTCTTGATACAACCGCGTATAACTGAGCACTGGAACACCAAACCCTTCCAAGTCGCAATAAGAAGACAGAAGACTAACGAAAGGAATATTATTCCAAACAGTGTCAAACATAGTACAAAATTATCAGGTATTTATAGTTTTTAGTGGGAACGAAATCATCATTACAATCTTCCAATCCGCGTACAGGGTGTTATTAGCATTATCCAATGGGGAAGCTACACGTTGGAATTCTAGAACATTCTTCCGACAGGTGATTGGATGGAACGTCTTCGGCTCCTTATGAGCCTCTTACAGCTTCCTCGAGTTCACCGGTGGTCCATCGTCACAAATATTTTCACAGGTAACTAGCTTCAAGAAGTGATTCCTGTAGTTGTAGCGTGAAGCCGCTACTAACGGAGTAAAATCCTATTGGGTGTAGAGTACTTTCTCATCTATTACAAAAAAGAATGAGGTTGTGCAATATCGTGAATTGATTGAATTTTAACATGTGAATATTTGGATGCCAACATAGTGGTCTGATGATAAAGTGACTAATATGAAATCTGAAGGTCCTGGATTTGATCCTCAATGAGGAAATAAACTTTCACTAGTGAGAAATCACACGCTAGAATAAAATATTTAACTAATGCTTTTTGATCTTCAATGATTTTCTAATGAAATTTATTCTGTAATATTCAAATTATTCAACTGTAATTCAACAAACATTCTATAAAACAAAACAACTTATCAAAATTATAGAAAATACTGTTTACTTACTTGTATCAAGTGTCATAAAAAACAGCATTGTTTCTCTTCTATAAAACAATATACCTTGAGCTATTGCATATGGTCCAGCACCAATTACACCACTAGTTAAAGCTATGATAGCTGCATCATGTTCTGTACGACAAAATTGACGTCTTACACGACGTACATATTGAAGACCAGTATCTAACTGTTTCATTCTTGCTGGATTATCTAAAATTTTGAATAGAGAAGAAATAAAATACAAAGTTTTGTTACAATTTTAGAAAATAAAAAAATCCTTGTTTAGTGTCAGTTTTTTGTGTTGATTAATCAATTAATAGTCACTAATAATGATGGAACACTAGGGTTGATGATATGGTAAAGTTTCAAATACCGAATGACCAACCCTATTAACATACGCTAGTAGATAAACTATAAGATATATCCACTTGGTATTATTTACTTGAATCTTTCCATTGATGTTTAGGACTGAAATTGATCAGTCTCTTATTGGTATATGTGCATACTGTGAGTATTGCCTCAATATAGCCTTAATTCACGCCATCGCACAAGCAAGTGGCTATCAGGGCTCAGTAGCTAAGTGGATAATGCGATGGCGTTTGAAGCGAACGGTCCCGAATCCGAGTCCTGAAGTGAACATCAACTCTGAGATGCAGGTACATCCAGATGACAAGTCCCAAATAGGACGAAACTCTCCTCCTGGATTTCACTGCTAGCCGTTATCCATCTTTGCTTATCAGGTATATCAACCACTTAACATATTTTGCTTTGAAAACTCAACACCTAAACGAAGATCAAGATCCTCAGAATAATTACAACAAGTGGCTTATATTAAATCGCGAAACTTCAGAAATATAATTTTCTTTACTCATTAGGATATAACAAAATAATATTTACAATTAACTCTCTGCTCAATGTTCAATTTATTTGAAAGAAGATCAAGAATAACTGCTAAGTGCTTGATAAATATTTATCAAATTATATTGATTGAAACAGTTTTGAGATATTCTTAGAAGTATCAAACGATGAGCGAAGAACAACAACAAGGCTAGAGAAGGTTCAAACCGGGAAGCATCACGACAAATCATAGGGTTTATTAATAGTAATAAAAAAACAACAACGAGAAAATGACTTTGGTCAACTGTGAGTTCATAAAGTGTCGAATTTGCTTTACTGTAGCAAATCAGTTAATAACAGAATCGGGGATTTGTGAAGATTGTAGTAATTTAATAGTTAGATTCATGAGTCGATTAAATCTAGACCAACGTAGAGAACGTGGAAGTACTGAATGGCCGTTTCGTCTTAGTATGGGATTCCTCAGCAGTGCGAATCTACGATCTCCCACTCGGGACTCGGATCCAGGGACTTCAGTCTCGTGAGTGAATGCCTAAGCTCCAAACCGCCCAGCCGAAATCCAGTAGTGTTAATGCTTCCAACAATCTTTTATTGTCTGAGGTAGATATTTGTGTCCACCTGACACGGATTAGCTTCACTGATCACGGCTTCCCACTAGAACACCGACAATGCCCTCATAAAACTCGTTACTAGTGAGCACATAGTAATTATCAGTATGAAGTTGTGGAGATGGTTACCATTAGATAGTCAGACAGGTGATCTTACGTGTTGTTATATGTATAAGTGTGGTCACCACATCCCAATTGTCAATACCGTAAATGGATCTTCAAAAATAATTAATTAAACATTTTAAATTTTATGGTAACCTGTCATAAATTACTTACTAGTAATATCAGGTGTTTTCCTTTGTTGTGATAATTGAGTATTTGTTATTGGTACACTAATTAATGATCCACTTGGTAGATTAGATGGTTGTTGAACTTCTTTAACTAAGGCTATTGTTTCAGACATGTATTGTTTTTCTAAACTGAGCATTCTTCTTACTACGACCAAAGATTCAATATATCTTGAAATTAAAAAAATATGTAAAATGTAAACATTTTAATAATTTCTTAAAATGATCATTTAAGATTGGTGAGAAATTCAAATTATTCAAACAAATTCACTTGGAGTTGCTTGCTTGTATCTTTCCATTGTTGTAACTAAGTGGATAATGAGATGGCATCTGAAGAAAACGGTACTGGGTTTAAATCCCTGAGTGAACATCAACTCTGGGATGCTGGTACATCCAGATAACAAGTCCCAAATAAGACGAAACGCGCGTCCTGGATTCCACTGCTAACCACTATCCATCTTTGTTCAAACAAATGTTTATCTTCAAATGACATTGAAAGATTTCAGAAAAGTGTAAAAAGTTATAAATAATATAGAGATAGAATCAGTGTATTTGTGGCGTATGCTACTTATGTCGACAGACATAAGTAATATTTAACATCAATCAAAAGTGAAAAACTTTGCAGCAGAAGGCCAAGAAGATCGAGTTGAATAGAATAGAAAGTAGTCGTGAATTAGGGGAATCATATAGAATATGAAGAACAAATAGTGGAAATTTGAAAATGAAGTATTCAATGAATGATAATCATATTTTACGAAGATATTCTGTAATTTGGTATGAAATAATAAATTGGTTGTCCTCACCTGAGTGTTCGTTCATTATGTAATACTTTCGACTAAATTAAAGAGGTATTCACTTTTTTTTAACATGTTGGTATTCAACTTTTACAGTTAGATTAATTTTGAACACTGTTATCGGAAGATTCGAGTCAGTATATGATACCATGATTACTACTATTGTAGTGAATGAGAACACGTTACACAATATTTTGTTAAAATCTGAAAACCATGCAGTAAATACTTCATTCGCAAAATATCCATCAATTTTTTCAGACTTTGCTGTTCTTTTGATTCCATACCAATCACTCTCTATTCTCGTTCTTTTTTCCATTTTCTCAATCTTCTGCCACCAGGCATTTCATTTTCGATTGGTGATACATACTACTTATATCTGTCGACATCAGTAGACCATACTACACTAGCACTAATGAAACGATGGCAATCTCAATATGCTAATTTTTTTACATATAGACTAATTTTATTAGATTAAATATTCAATTGTTGATTTCTGAATGAGTCAATGGAAAGTTGCTCAGTTGAAAAGTACGCTTATTAGCATTTATCAATAAGATCTAACTATAACGTTAATGAAATTCACAATTATTCTGGTTTCATAATGCGATAAAAAATGATCAATACTTTTTCTTTTGTTTCAATTGAAGCCAATTCAAATAATTTTTCAAGCTCAGTCGAATGCAACTGTATCAATTCTTTGTTTTGAGTAAATGACCGCCATCTTTACATTTTATACATCTATCATGGTTTGAGCTTTCTGATTTATTTCGAGATGAAAGTGTGTATTTGATCACTATCTATTGAGATATGTGCATACTTAGTGGTATTAAGTCCGAGCCTCCTCTGTTAGTACTGACATTTGGATTCAGGTAAATCCAGCTGACAAGTCATGAATACAATAAAATGAGCAACTAAGATTCCGCTGCTAACCAACTGTGCACGTTTACTAAAATACCAACTGTCTTTAAAATAGATATAAATCCTAAATAAGACTGCAAATCACTTCATTAGAAGTTGGATTCTACTAAACGATAAATCTGCTTCAAATCAACTAACGATATAAAAACGAGT